CGTTGACTTTTTTTTTTTTTTCTTCAACATGTTTCTTACTTCTTTTTTTTAATATGCTCCAATTTCATCATTATACATCAACTATCTTTCATCATCATGATTCATCGAAGCATTTTTTTCAAAGCAATAAATAAGCAAAAATAACTAAGCTAAAAGTAAAAATCCTAAGGTATGCAAACTAACAAAAGAACTAAAGCACAGAAAAACAAGTAATTTCCACCCCAAACTTAAAATTTAGATTGTCTTCAATGTAATTCGCACAAAGTTCAAGAATAGAATACACATGATTAGTCGAAAAGTCCTTCTCTGAGATGCACTCTTTGATGTTCGTTTTCTCCACATCCGATCTCTTAATGTTTGACTTTCGACCTGAAAATTAAAACGAGATTAAATTATTAGTTCGCATGTTTACTAAAAACTTAAGAAAAATAAATACAAACAAAAATTCGAAGAAAAATACGAATAAAAAAAAACTATAAATGCTCGGGTTGCCTCCTGAAAAGCGCTAAATTTTTAGTATTCAGCCAAACTTTAGTTATCGGAACTGTTATGTCCAATCCAAAGCCTTGTAGATCGCGCATCCATCCATTGACTTTATTAATTGGAACCAAACTTGGATAACATTGCAATATGTCAAGGTCCATCCTACCTTGTATTTTTTTTCATTTATAATCAATCAGTACGAAGCCAAGATGGGATATTCGTCATCTGCACCCTCAAATCGGTATAAAAATACTTCTAGCTCGTGTATAACCTCCACCTTAAACATAGTCACCTTTTCGTAGGTCACTTTAAATGGCATCAACTCCTCCGTTGCAATATCAATGGGATCACCAATTTGACTTTTCTGAAGTTTTGTTACATTCATGTCCATCTCCTCTTTATCCTTGCTAACCATGACATCGTCAAGATTCAGCCCAATTGAATCCTCAAAAAAATTATTCTCCGGTGTATTGAGTATTTCTTCTTCTTTCTCATATATGCTATTTTCTCGCATCAAAGAAGCTTTATCATTACATAATTCAATGTATTTTTCCTGGCTACATATATCCACTGCATCACCTAGAAAAGGTTCAGGTGGTTAAGATTGTATGGCAAGTACGAATTGCTCCCCTAACGTTTCTAGCCTTTGAATTGCTTTTCGTGTCCACAACATGCCCTCGATAAGTATCCCTTGGAGGTTTGATGTGGGCTCGGGAGATGGTGGTACTATGTCGGTATTTCCTATCAAATTTGCTGAAATTGGTGTTTTCCCAACATCGGTGAGTATAGTGATTGCTATCACATTTTGAAAAAACTGGAAGCACATCACATGTGTTTTCGGAAGTATTCACCAGACTGAAGCCATTCATATTTCATTTGAAGTGCGCAAACATTGTAACATGACATGTAACAAAAAAAAAACATAAGGAACAATTTTTAAAAATAAAATAAAATTAAATGGTTGGAGTAGCAAAAAATGTTCAAACTCGGTATCAGAATAAATAGATAATTTAACCGTATTCTCCGGCAATGGCGCCAAAAAAATGTTGGGCTAAATACCTAACACACAAACGCATGTATCGTAAACAAACAGTAAAAGCGGACTCGTGAGAGTCGGATGTCGATCCCACACGGAATAATTCAATTACCTAATCCTAAGTATCGAATTCTAACAATTATGAATTTTTATCCAGCCTACGCAAGGTTGTCAAGTTTTATCAACTAAATAATTAAACTAACTATGAAAGCGAATAATCACAATAAGATATCAATAAAAATGGACCTAGGATTTTATGTTCCCCATATGCGATAATTCATCACCCAATTGAACATCTATCATACAAGTTACGATTCCTGATTATTAACCCGAGACACTAAATTACTCATAACTCGTTGTCGCGTGTATTATAAGTCTATTATTCATAAACAACTCACTATATGCCTATCCAAACTAATTATGAATAAAGCATTAACTAACAAGTTTTGTAAACGGCTACCTAAGGTGATATATGTATGTCTACGATAACACATGCAATTAACACACTAATTCGGTGAAAACTACTCGAAGGCTCTTCTACCTCTGTTCTAATTATTAAAACGATCTATCGATTCAATTTTAACAATAACATATAACAACATAAATTAACTACATTCATGCACTAAATAAGATTAGATAGAAGAAATAATCATGGAATTAAACGTGCATAATATTAGAAAAATAGGTACAAATCACCACATAGGATTCCAATAAAATCATAAATTAAAAGTTTAGCTACTCATGTTTTTAAGCGAAAACATCATAAAAATAAGAAAATACATGGATTTAGAAAAGAGAAATAAAAGAAGAACTATGATGAAGATTCGTCAGGTCTTCGTTATCGATTCTCTGTTCTCTCGCTCCTCTTGCTCTTAGATTGTGTAAAAAGTCTCCATAATTTGTGTTTGTCTTTGCTCTAAAATAGGTGCTCCAACTTGGTAGAAGTTTCGGGTTTCCTTGTGCGATTAAATCTCCAAAATTGCTCTTCCGCGTGTCTTCACACGCCCGTGTATAAATCAGTACAAATCTCACATGGTTGTCCCAGGCCAATTTTCAGCCCCCGACATGTTTTCTTCCTTTTTTTGCCCGCTTTTGACCCTTTTTTGCTCGTTTCATCCTTACAAAACTTTCGAATCTTCAAATTATACCTAAAATAAAACAAATCAATCATTAAGCACCATTACATCGATAAAAGTCCACAAAAATCCTTGTAAAAAAAAAATCAACGCCAAAAATTGGCAGCAATTTTTTTTCTTTTAAGTTTAAAAAAAGAGAAAGCCAAAATCGGATTTTGTGGTCAAAATTGATTAAAATTGAAGTTAAATTGGGATTACAATTAGGAATTGCGTTTAAAGGATTGGGGGTAATTTTTTCATATACATTATTTTTTCTTTTATTTATAATACATATTAAAGGGGTGAGCTTATTGGCGAAAAAGATATAACCAATGAACCTAGAGGCTAGAATATTAAAGATGATTGGTCATAAACTTATGCATAAAAACCGCATAAAATAATTGGATTTTTATTAGATTATTTATTCTTATCTTGGGAATCAAACGATGTATTAATATATAAATAAGAACAAAGAAAACACATTCTTTTAGTCATTTGAGTTAGGAAGTGACAATTTTCTCTCTAATAAGAATTTGGGCAAATATCATTTATCTTTGTAAATCTTTCGTTGCAAATTAGAGTATTTATTTGACGAGAATTAGAAATTGAATTTGGAAAATTCTCAATTTTCAATGCTTGACTTAATGTTTTTTTTTTTTTCTCTTGAGAGGAAACGTGAATTTTATTAATGAAGAAACTCAGATTTTATAATATCAATAATAAGATTATGAAGAACGTTCAATATAAAAGAGCCCCTGAATGAAAGTCTATAAATTTCATGGGATGTGCCGTGTGCTTTTCTCTTAACGTGACGAATCTCGCACACTCCAAACGTGATGGCTAAGTGTTTAATATCATCAATAACATTCCCATAGATCGCGCAACTACCGAACTCTCCAACAATAGCAGCAACAATATTGCTAGAATCACATTCCAGAACTACTCTACTCCACCGGTGGTCTTGAGCGAATTCCAAAGATTTGAGAGCTGCTATAGTCTCGGCTAAAATAGGATCAATAAAAAGAGGACAAATATGTAGGAAACTAGGCTAAGCACTATCCATAGAGGTCCGTGCCTAACCCCCTAGCCCACAACCATGTTCCACTGAAACAAGAGAAGCATCGTAAATAATTTTCACCTCGTCTCTTAATGGAAGCTCCCACTTGATACTCGATCTTTGCATCTGTAGTAAAGGTTTTGAACAAAGTACTTTAGAAGCAGATCCTGACACCTCCATAAGAAAATTCTTTGCGAGCAAGATAATATCAAGAGTCGAATGGCTGGCCTCCTCAATGCCAAATAGCCCAATAGACCACTACACAACATTCAAATTCAGTTTTATCAAGCTTCTTCTTCATTTACAAGAACAAATCTATTTAAATTCAGTTTTATCAAGCTTCTTCTTCATTTACAAGAACTTTCACCCCTAATCATAGCCCAAGTGTCGTTGTTAGTGTTACACAATCAAAGCCACGTGAGTTCAAAAACTCCACAAGGAGTAATATGGATGAACAAATTCTAGTTTTGTCCAAGTTTTAATAAATATAAGAGTTGAGGGGCAGAAATACAATATATTTAGAGTCTGGGGGCTAACAAGAGGCTTTAAACGTTTTCCACAAAATTGGACAATCAGCGCCATTTTCAAAACAACTCATTTCAGAGCTCGAGCTCTCCCTCCCTCTCTCTCTCTCTCTCTCTCTCTCTCTCTCTCTCTCTCTCATCCATCACGCACACGCAGGCGCGCAAATTCTGATTCAGTGACGAGTGCTGCTGATTGATCTGGTAACCTCGATTTCAAAATTTACATTTTAACTCCGAGTTGAATTTCGTTACTGATAATCGACTCAGTCAGTCAAATTAGGTCAATCCAAGGAAGCAATATCAAAATGTTTCGAATCTGAAAATTGTTACTGGAATTTTCGCTGATTTTCTATTTCAGTTCATCAATTGCAGAATTTATGTTCAACTGCTCAAGAGGAGGGAAACTGATACTCGGCTTTATTTTTTGGTTCTGTATCCGCCCAATTTCATCACAAGGAGGTAATTAATTTTAACCTGGTTTATTTTTTGATTATTCTGAAATGGCAAATTTATTATATTTCTGGTTTCCAGTTTATCTGAATTTGGATGTTTTTATTTATTTATTATTTTGTTTAATAATTTGGATGGATTGTTGTTGTGAAGTGTCAAGTGTGTGATTGGCTATATATCGTAGTATATATTCTCTTCTCGATTTCGGTAATTGATCTATTATTTCCTGATTATTAGTTATATGTGATTAAATGATGAACAAGCTGATAAGGATCTTCATTCCTAAACGAATTTTGTCGTTGCAACAGAAATCTTATTGTTTCTGATTAGTAGCTAGTTGTGTTCAAATAAATCTAGTTCTTTCTGATTTGGTAGATTAAAATTCTTTGGTCCAGTTTACAGTTTATCAGCTAATAGTTATTCATTTGGAGTACTTTGACTATGTGATCTGCTGTTGTTTCTTCCACGATTTCTTTCGTTTGGATATCCAATTCCAAAACATCGCTATGTGTTGATTCACTACGTTTGTCGATTCAATACTTTCATGTCAGCATGTTAATTTAAGCATATAACTAAGCCACACGACTGTACATATAGCAGATGCATAGACTTCCCTATTGATAGTTTAAGATGTGCCGAGTATAGATTGCTTTCTTTCTAACTGCTTTGTGTTATTTCTTTCGTTATTTGTGTAACGTCATTTTTTTTAGATATCAAGTAGTTTATTTAGTAAGGTATATCCGTTTTTGTTTCTTCATGTGTTTTGAGTTAAAATAAGTAGCCATGCCTTTCTATTAAGAGAAATAATCAAGTAATTAATTCCTTTTCTTATTAGTTGCTGTTTGGCGAAAAACTGAACCAAAGTACCTTAGAATTGCGCTCACAAATTTTTCGATTCCGTTGTGTGCTAACGTAGAATACAATAACATCCGAACACCAAAAGCACAATGAAACTTTTTGGGTAGACTGATTTCTGCTTTAGCACGTTTAAGGAATTTTCTGAAGGATGATATGATTTTTAGTTCCTTCCTTTCCCCCAGTATTTACGAGTTTCATTCGAAATGGACAACGGCAAAACGCGCTAAATTTTCCGTATGTCTTCTGCACATGTGTCATTTGATCATTAATATGTCAGAAAGAAATCAGAAGTACAAATTTATTATCCCAATAACTAAGATATAATTAATATATGCAGGATAACGAGACCATCGTTGAAGATGGATCCACTGAGGAAGAAAATGAGCTAAGAGCTTCAAATTCGGAACAAGTGGAGATGGAGATTGCTCGCATTCTGGAGAAGATCAATCATTTCACTCAAATGGTAAATATCCAACAACGTCGATACTTGTCCAAATAAAATATTCACCGTACACGATGCATCTTTTCTGAGGTAATTTTTTTTAGAAACATTATTCTGTGAAGGTGTCAGAGCTGCTAGAATCAGGAAAGTCAATGCTGAAGGAACTGACAAATGAATTTGAAGAAAGGATGATCTTGTAAGTTTATAGAACTGGCATATGTAATAATTACTGGAAACGAGAATCTACTCTACATGCTAACTGTGACTATAATTTGGTGATAGTCTACATAAGGAACAGATGGAGAAGTGGCAGGACGAGATTAAGGAACTCCGATTGCTTGATGCTGCAAATGAGGAGATGAATGCTCTCTTACACAACGCTAAATATCTGCTCCAGAACATCCATGCTGGCTAAAACGGAGAAGCATTTGTAAGTTTTCAGTACATAATATTTTTGGATCTAATATTCAACCACTTATTGCACTATAACAGGAGTAATATTAGCATGGTATTAATCCGGTATTATGGTTCTCAGTATGGTGTACATTTTGAGCAACTCTGTTAACTTGGTCGAGTGAAAATTTAGGCATTTTGTATTTGGATACTCAAAGGGTTCGGATTTAAGATAATCATGTCAAATGACAATAACGGCTAATTTTTGTACATCAAAATAAATAAAATAAGAAAAACTTCATTTGTTACATGGATCAATCTTAGGTTTTTGGACATGGATTACATCTCTGATACAAAATATTGGGAACTGAATCCCATAAAAACCAAAAATAAATTAGAACAAAATAAATATTATGTACCAAAGAATAAGTAATAAATATAAAACATCAATATTTTATTAATAACTGAAAAAAAAATTTATCATCAATCCCAGTATAGAAAATAAATCCTAAATATTGGAAGGTAGGTTACATAACAACCCAAGACATCAACCAGTCCCTTTTAACAGGAGGTAGTTTAACAAGTGTTCTGCTTCGATCCTCAATGTCATACACATATAGAATTTTGTCACCCTCTACGTAATATATCGAGTTTTTCTTAATTCTTACGTCATCGTTTTCATCATCACTGCCGTTGTTAGTGAACAACCACGACTTGCTTCCGTAAGGGTCGAGGAAAATGGTGCGGTCCCCTATACTCTTCAACTCCGTCCACTCCCCTTTATACACATCGATCTTGAAAATATTATAGTGAGATACCTGCATAGATTGATTATTACCGTTTGTGGTACTGTGCACTAGCAATACATCATCGCCCGATGCAACTAGATACTCATTGAACAGAAATGAGAATGGTGGTGTTGGCATCGGAATATGACAAGACTGCCCCTTATCATTCACCACTTTCTCGATAACAATCTCTCCCCCGATAAAATCGACTTGTACGAGATTACGACTACGCCCCATCCATCCGTAGATTTTTCGTTTATAATGTACGGCCGATGCTAAATTATTGTTTTCATCCCCAAACTTGTTTGGCCTCGAGGTGAATTTTTCATCTCCCATGCGATAGTAGTAAAGATGGGTGTCGAACGCGGCAATGAATAGAACATGGCAATTAGGGTGTGTTGGAGTTTCGGAAAAGATGCATGCGTAGTCACAATAGCTGCTTCGTTCGGGTTTTTGTTTTATTTTTGGGAGATGGATCTCTTGTTTTGTAACGGTGTTCAAGAGAGAGAAAGTTAGTGACGATTTTCGGGGATGAATCAGTGCTAGCCACGGTGGGTGTGAAGTGGATATAGCCTTTTTGGAACGGAACTCAGTGATTTTTGTGTCGACGATCGCTTTGTCTTTTGAGATGCTGTATAAAGTTTGGTTTTGATGGTTGCTTCCATGGGATAACAGTAGCAATGGATAGGTTTGATTAGGATCCAATGGAAAAGGAAGACTGGACAATGATTCTTGACTCATTTTGGCTCAAAATTGTGTATGTATTATTTCTGCAAAAAAATCACAATATAATTGATTAGCGTTTAGAGTTTATAGATATAGTTAGTATAGATCCAATTTGACATTTTGGATATTTAATTTTGATTTTTTTTTTTTAAATTCAATCCTTGTTATAAATTGGGAAAATTGAGGAAGTAGTCGAAACATAGACCTAGGTACTAGTTAAGTTCACGGAGATTAGATGCTACACCTGAATATTTTCACTTGGTGACTTTGAACCGTAGATCTACACATAATCACACACACCCATGTGTATGTGTGCTTAGAGGGTAGTTATTTAATCAAATCTACGGTTCAAATCCACGCGGTGTAAATAACTAGGTGTAGCATATATCCCCGATAAGTTCTTCTCAGCAAGGTTAATTTTCTTTAATTATTAATGTCAAGTATCATCAAGTACACTTTACCTATAATTTTTTGTCCTGTAACTAAAACGTAGTTACATCTCTAGTGAAAAATTCATCAAAGTTTCTCTTCATGCATGCATCTCTAGTGAAAAATTCATCAAAATTTTGAATAACAGAGCAACAATTACCCGAAAAATAAAAACACAAATATTCCTTACCATGGCCTCAAATATTAAAGATTAAAGATTATTTTTTTCTTTATCGAATTAGTAAATAATATGCATCACGAGTTTAAGTAGATGATCATGTAAATTGGCTTTCCATGGATGCCGAAAACAACAATTTAGCAACACATAATTATCTAATCAAAATTAAAAGAAACAAGAGATTGATTATGAACGTACCTTTTCGACCAAGTTCTTGAATACGAAGAAATCTTTTGAGGGTGTTTTTGTTTTGAGCAAAAGGATGACCAGCAATTTATAAAGGTTTGAAATTAGAGAAATCTTCTCTACTTTATAATTTACCTTTACATACATACGTACATGCATATATATATATATATAGTGATGTTAGAGTTGTATTGGTTTTGGAGATTTGGAAATTTGTTATAATTAGGATTCCAATTAAGATTTGAACCATGCAAGGAATTTCATTCACGACGTTTAGGTATTTTTTTTTATTATTACTTAATTAAGAAATTAATCCTTTTTTTTTCCCTTATTCCAATTAGGATTTGAACCGTAGAAGGAATTTAATTCAAGACTCGTACATATTTTCTAATTGCAGCATGATTAGGAAATAAAATCCCTTACGTAATTCAAAACCCTTTTAATTAATACCTTTATAAATATATAGAGCATCAACTCGTAGAGGTTTTCTTCAGTTTGGCATACAGAAGAAACCCTCTCTCTAGCTCTTAGGTTTACAAAAAAACATGGTGGAAGAAAGTCTACGTGTCTTACAACTAGACCCACCGTTCTCCCCCGATCCGATGAATTCTTGTTATTTCGATTCACCATGTTTAATGTATTCTCAGAGAAGCAATACTTCATGGAAATTTTACATCTCTTTACGCAACGAATTCAGCTATTTGGATTTTCCTGAATTGAAAGATGCCGAGATTGTCTACTCCAATTATGGATGGCTTCTCATGTCACAGATTAATAATGGCCCTTTATTTTTCTTCAATCCTTTGACTAGGCAGAAATTTCAACTCCCCCCCACCGAAACCGAAGAGCCGTTCGACTCGGTGTGTTTCACCTCTCCGCCAACTAGCTCCGATTGTTTTGTTTTCGGAATATTCGGGTCAAGTCATTCTGATGAAACTGAATACGGTCTTATTAGATTTGGAGATGAAGAATGGAAAATAGAATTGTATGACGGTTTTATGTATGCAAATTGTCCACCGGTTTTCCACAATGGGATGTACTATTGTTTGGATGATGAATGGAGGAGCTTTAGAGTTTATGACCCCACTAACCATGAATGGACAATTTGTGGTCACTGCCCTGAAAAAATTGAAGATAGTAACGACGACGAGAAAAACGAAGAAAACAAAGATGAACACAAAGACGATGAAGAAGAAGATGAAGGAGAAGATGAAGGAGAAGAAGATGAAGAAGAGGAAGAGGAAGATGATGATGAAGAAGAGGAGGAAGAAGTAACTCAAGAGTGTCATGTAGTACAAGTAGATGGAGAAATATGGGGTGTTTTTGTTATGAACAATGATCGGAAAGTTGAAGTTTTAAAATTTGATTTATCCGATAAGTGTTGGAACAAGGTTGAAAGCTTAGGTGACAAATGTCTCTATGTTAGCCCCAATGGATCGTTTGCGGAGGATTGTGATGGTGGTAGTGATAAGGCAAATAAGATATACTTCAACAAATTTCACGGCAAAAACGGAGTTTGGTACTCGTTGAGCAGCGGAATGTACCACTCCGTTGGGGGAGATTTTGCAAGCAAGGATGCTTATGGGCTAACTCAAGTGGACTATAGCACTTGGATTAAGTCTACCTAATTACACAAATACATGTAGTAATTAGATGGCATGGTCTTGATGTCTTGTTTAGGAGTTTTTTGTTTTTTGTTGTTTTTTGTTGTTTTTTTTTTTGGTCTCTAGCTATCTTTAATTGGAATTTTAGTCCAATGTTTCAATAGTTATAAAACCTATAGCAGTTAGATTTTTTCTTTTTTTTTTTGTTTTATTTAAGTTCCTCAACATTTCTTTATATATTGATGCATCGGTTTGAAACTTTGAATAATTTGGTCATAGCATTAGTGTTGTTAGTGTTCCTCAATCAAAACCGCACAAGGAGTAATATGGATCAATCAATTATTTAGTCTTATCAAATTTCTAGTCCAATCAATTTATAATAAGGGTAAATTACGGTAGATAAGATCAAATTATGAAAAACACCTTATGTTTGGTTAATTACAACCACCTCCCAACTATGAATTTTCTTAGGGCATGTTTGATAGGCTCTGAATGACCTCTTAATACCTATGTAGCACAGAAACTTCAACTTGTTGACGTTTCCACGTTTCGTGTCGGAAACTAGATTTCACCTGCTGAACACTTTATGTACCATTTTGCAATTTCTAAAAGTTAGGAAATATGATTGAATAGCAAATTTTTAAATATTTTTGTTGTTTCCCAAATTATTACATGATTTGATGAACGATTACAAATTAACAATTGATATTAAAATTTATTTGAATATGTTTGTATAAAAATATATAAAAAAGAATTTTATATATAACTAAAAAACATATACATGTTTTATATAGAATATTTACAAATATACCGTCTATAATTTTAAAATTTTAAATATTTACACGTTCCCCCAAGTTTTTGTATTTTCCATTTTTTGGCATTCCCCCCCACCCCCCCCCAAATCTATTTTACTGTTTCCCTGTATCGCCGTGTCCGTTTCTTAATACACAATAAACTCTTATTCGGCCAGAGATAACCAATTCAACCGGTTTGGTAGAGAGTTCTGAACTGAATCAAATATTGCCAATTCAGTCAATAAATTAATACTTATTCATTCAGATATCGACTAAATGAAATTTAGACAAAATTACCCCGTTAATTGTTTGCCTCTTTTCAACAAACTCCTTTGCTTCGCAGTCATGTTCAAATCCAATAACTCATAAATCATAATATCCTTTATTCAAGAAATTTTCACCAAAGTAGATCACTCATGAGAATGAGATTCTACGAGGCAATTGACTAATTTCCCTAATTTTTTCACATTACATATTATTCACAAATACAAAAAATAGTCGGAGATGGTTGAAGAGAGAGATAAGGAGGTGGTGGAGAACTTTATTAAATAGATGAGAGTATTAAATAGAGGTTTTATGGTGGTCATTTTTTATACTATGGGACTTTTGTGGCTTTGTAAAATGATGAGAGTAGAGAAACAAAATTATATTTCTAAAGATCATATATTCTCTATATAATGTCCATATGTAGAGCTCTTGGTGTGTTGGGTGTACGCTTCTACTTCACTTGAACGTGCAGTTTCGGTGAAGTTTCAGCGGAGAGACCGGACTGTTGTATCCCATAGGCGATACGATCTGAACCTTTCTGCACCTCATTAGAGAAGGGGTCGTGAAATTCATCTTAAGAGAGCGACCTAGTGCGCGCATCACATCGTCTACCATCATATTATTATGAATCTTATTGCATCTATTTGTCAACTATGAAAAGAGATAGCAAATAGAGTCCGAGCCTCACATCGTTATTTCGTGATCAGTAGTCATAGTGCAGCAATCGTTATTTTCGGTACGGTATATCGGAACATTGTACTCTACCCTTAATTTTAAATTGTTACTCTTTTGAATGATATAAATTATAATAAGACAATCTTATGAAAATACAATAAAAAATTCTAACACTTTAACCAAGAACATTGGCTATGTATATGATCTTATTCAATTTCTGAAACCTTCCCCAATATTTATCAAACTTTAACTTCATTGATTTAGCCACACCTTGCAAAATAAGATTAACAGAGTCATGAATTTTATTTTCAAATTTAGTTTGCAGCCTCCTAGTGAAAATCAATGAGATGTACACTTTTTTGTTGCACTAAACTTCAATGTTGTCTCATAAAACATTTTTTAGGAACTTTATTTCAAATTTAAGTTTTGACGGATTGACCTATTTATTTTGTGTAGTAATTTTATTTAATTATTAACTAATATAATATTAGAAATATATATTAGTTAAATTATAAAATTCAAAATTGAGGTACAATATGGTATTATCATGGTATTAAAAATACAATACGCTACTATACTGTATAATAATAGTACGGTACCAATACCATACAAAATGTAGTGATAATCGAAGTTTCAATAATTTTTCAGTATTATTTAATAAGTATACCGTGATATTTAGTAGGTGGTAATTATTTTCCAACTCTAGTAAGACATGTACCTGGTGAAGTTAGCATTGAATAAACCTTCAAGTCTATCATTGAAAATTGAGAATTTTCCAAATTGAATTTCTAATTCTCAGCAAATACATCATCAGATTTGCAACAAAAGATACAACGATAAATGATATTTGCCTCAATTCTAATTAGACAGAAAATTGTCACATCCTAACTGAAATGACTGAAAAGTTGTGTTTTCTTTGTTCTTATTTACTTCTTCTCTTCCAAAATAAGTTTTAGGTTGTTGCATACATATTAAAAAAATTAATAAATATGTATTTTTTTTAAACCAATTAATAAATATGTGTTTTTTTTTTTTTTTGAGTAAATTAATAAATATGTGTTGATTATAAAGAAAAACACATAATGCGACTAAAGTACTCTTACCATTAATCTTAGTTTCATTAATTTCCTTTTTACTTACTAAAATTAATAAGGACATAATTGATAAAACATTAATTAATGCATCGGGGTGTAAACGAGCCGTGCTCGCCTATTTTGGTAGGCTCGAACTCGAGCTAAAGTTCATTTTATCGAGCTCGAGCTCGTCGAGTTTATTTTTTTGGTTCGATCTCGAGCTCGAGCCCAAGTTGAAGCTCATTTTTCTAATTATTAATTTTTTTATCAAAAAAAAATATTTAGATTATAATACATTAAAATACTAAACTGTTATTTTATATATATATATATATATATATATATATATATATATATTTATATGTTTTTTTTAATATTATTTCTATAAGATTTTATATTATAATAAGTTATTCAAATAAAAAATAATATATAAAAGCAATAAATAAGATAAAAAAAATAAGGCTCGCGAGCCGGCTCGTGAGCCCACGAACAATTGAAAACAAGCTCGAGCTCGAGTTCGAGCTTTTTTCGAGCCATCTCATCGAGCGGCTCAGCTCGTTTATCACCCCTATTCGTGCACATTTAATGTCTAAAGTGACAGATAATATAGAACAAAAAAACTCTCTAAAGTGCCACTTAATTTGGAACAGAAGGAGTATATACTAAGACATCGTTTGGTTGCCAAGATAAGATTAAATAATCTAATATAAAAACCCAACTATTTTATGGGTACCGAGACATTCAATAGAAAACTCCCTAATGTGGAAAATAATGCATAATAAGATACGATAATATAATATTTGGGGGTCGACAAATTATTAAGGACACCAAACATCAAACAAAGTCTTATTATTCAGTTAATTATGGCTAATCTTTCCAACCAACAAGACCTTAATATTAGGGGAAATTTGACAAAGCTCCCCCATTTATACAAGGGTCATTACACTAGGTCCTTTTTATTTTTACATATTTAAGATAAATCCAAAAATAACTATTATTAATTAAAACACTTAAGTAATACAATTATACCCCTAACTAATCCCACGATATATCTTTTGTTTTTATATTAAAAGATATATAATATCTCTTCCATAAATATTGTATTTAACACATTCTTTAATTAATCCAACGATTCCCTGTCATTGATTTTGGGATTTCCGTTTCGGTGGAGTGGGAAAGTCTAATTCTCATAATTTTTTCTGATGTGTGCATGATAGGATAATTGGCGTTAAAGATACACACAGTGGTTTTCTAAGGCGGTAGAAACTTCGGTAAATTATGTTGATATACTCGTGGATTTGTTTAAAAGTTTATATAAAGTGGTTTTCATGTTTATGATTGTTTATACAAAGTAATTTTCATGTTTATATAGTTGTATACACAGAGTAGTTTTCATTTTTATATAGATGTATATACATAGTGGTTTTCATGTTTATATAATTATTTATACAGAGTGGTTTTCATCTTTACATAGTTGTATACACAGAGTGGTTTTCATGTTTATATAGATGTATATACAGAGTGGTTTTCATGTTTATATAGATGTATATACAGAGTGGTTTTCATGTTTATATAGCTATTTATACAAAGTTATTTTCATGTTTATATAGTTATTTATACAAAATGATTTTCATGTTTACATATTTGTTTATAAACATATTTCTACACCATAATTTTAGAAACACAAAATTAAAAGATCAGTAGTTATGGTGTCAATTAATATTGAGATAAATTTATTAAAATTGTATATGCAAGAAACTATATAATTAATATATTAATATAGATAAATTACAGTACCCATACCCAGATTTTCCTTCTTCAATCCAATTATTAAAAAGGGCAGGCAACAATATTCAAATCCTCGGCCAAATTACATGGTCAAATGTTCAGAGAAATGTATAATTGACTTGTATGTATATACACCATGTTTCTTCCCGATCTCCATTGTTTGAATGGATTTGGTGTAGACGGTGGTTACACGAGATCTTTTGGATTTGGGAGCGTGATTTTGGGGCAGAAATTTATGCAGAAGATATCGGTGTAGATTAGGGTGATTTGGGAGCGTGATTTGGAATTGATTTACCGTATTTTTTATTTTAATAGTTATACGAATTAGTGGGGGCATATATGGTTTTTCAGGCTCATTGGATTTATTTCAAATATCATTTATAAATAAAAAATTTATCAATAATTAAAATCTCAACGAAGTGTGTTTGGCATATAGCCCCTTAATATTATGTTATTATGTTTTTTTTAGTTTTTTCCTTTTTATTTTTTTTTAACGTGCCGTGTAGAATCCCACAGGTGCTAAAGTGGACCAGCGCACAGCTGAACCCTCCACCCTCGGCGGCCATAGCAATTTCTAGCGTTTGTCTATCAAATTTCCGCCCCCGTTCAACTTTTCTCCACCCACCCATGATCCTCTCCAGACTCAAACCCCTGCGCCACCATCTCTGCCGCCGCAGCCTCGCTCTCTCCGCCGCCGCCGTCCGCCAGGAAAGCACCATCTGGACCCCAACACGGCTAATAAAAGTCACCCCCGCCGCCGAATCTCACTTCCACATCACCATCGACGTCTCCGATTCCCCCGACCTCGCCTCCTCTTACACCAAAGCCGGGCAGTATTTACAGCTCCGTCTCCGGGATCCGTACGCCAGGCCTACGTTTCTCGCCATCGCATCGCCACCGTCAATCGCCGCTTCCAAAGGCGTCTTCGAGTTTCTAGTGAAATCCATCGCCGGCTCCACGGCGGAGCTCCTGTGCGGGCTGCAGAGAGGCGATGTTGTTGAATTGAGTTCCGCCATAGGCAACGGTTTCGATATCGATCAAATCTCCCCGCCGGAAAATTACCAGACGGTGCTCATTTTCGCCACGGGATCCGGAATCAGGTTTACGAATATCACAATTTTATTTTAGATTCTAATAAATATCATAATTAATTTTACCATTTTGGTATTATCTGTCATATTGGTGAAAATTAATTGTTCGTGAGAGTAGGCTAAAGACTGTTCTTTTCTTTTTGTTTGAATTTCCATTGCGCCACCTGTTTTTTCCCTCCCCTCTATTCTTGGAGATCAATTCATATTGCACTAAGAGAAAATCGATTTCGGCTTCTGAGATTATATACAGGTGGTGTTTGCAAAAGCTTATTTAAAAGCAGAAGTTAGTGATTGTGAGTTAAGTTGCAATTAAGTGCTTAAATCTATAAGTTGGGGGCGTTTGCAAATTAGTTGGTTTCCAACTAAAATAGCAAAAGCAGGTACATGGATGCTTTTAAAATTATAGCTTAAAGCAACTTCTTTTAAGAGAAGCAGAAGTAAAAGCTTGTTTTGCAAATACCTAAAAACAGATTATGTGCAGAAAAAAAAATCAATCTATTTATAAAAGCTTTTGCAAACACCATCATAGTATACGATGGTTGTTTCAGTTAACCAAGAATGTTTACCATGTTATGTAAAGAGGAACTTAACTAATTTATTTGACATATTTCAAGCATCACTAGTTACCATGTTTCATTATGTGTAGCCCGATTCGGTCTCTGATCGAGGCAGGCTTTGGTGCTGATAAGAGAGCCGATGTGAGACTCTATTATGGTGCCAGAAATCTTAGTAGGATGGCATATCAGGTATTTACATTTTGAGCAAAATCGTTAAAGAAGCAATGCTTGATTCAGTTTCTTCATCTGTTCTGCTATTTATCTAGTTTTTCGTCTTTTTTTCTTTTTTAAACAAATTGTAGGAGAGATTTAGAGACTGGGAATCTTCCGGAATCAATATTGTTCCAGTGCTGTCAAAGCCAGACGATAGTTGGACTGGGGAGCGAGGTTTCGTGCAGGTTTTTGACACACTTGACTTTGAAGAAATGCTTGTGATGTGTCTTTATTGTTTCTGTGATTCTCACTATTGCTTTTGCAGGCTGCATTTGCTAGAGCGAAAAGACTCTTGAACCCTCAGTCTACTGGTGCAGTTCTCTGTGGCCGAAGACAAATGACTGAGGTTTCTACTTATTTTTTCGATCAATTTCTGCATAAAAAAATGAGTTATTCTTGTAGATAATTTAAGAACTTAAGTTTCCTGTTAGATTTATCGTATGGTAGTTCCTAATATGCAATCAGATCAGACTGAATTACTCTTGAGTTTTAGCATACTACTGTTGTGCTCGGTTGTGTTTCGGATTGTCAATTGCCTGTTTAATATCTATTTATCTGTAAATAGTTTCGTAAGAATTCTTTTGTTAAATCCTTCAAGGGATTTAGGTGTATATATGCACACGCGTTTGTTATGCATGGATCAAATTTGTTGTTACTAAAATTCCTCTTGGTACCCCTGATAATATTTTTTGAATATGAATTATGTATATTGCTCGAGTCAAAATTATGTTTTTAGTGCGCACACACGATAAAAACCTGAATATCTTTACTTCTCTTTTTGTTTTCAGGAGGTAACTTCTATTCTTGTTTCTGACGGAGTAGCGAGTGAAAAGATTTTGAAGAATTTCTGACAACCGCAGATTTCAAAGTCGCTGCCGTGTATCATTGTATTTAATAGTTAATAGGTCATTCATTTTACACATCCTGTGCATAAGGATGAAATTAAAATCATAGAATAAAACCAATTTTGTCATATCTAAGTTTATTCATCTTCCCCACTAGTGCTTCTTGCAGCTGAGTAAAGTGTGTTCTGGTTATAGTCCATATTTCGAGCAATCGTTTATATGTAAAGCAAAGATATTCGACCTTTAGTAGGAGAGTTGGGTAGTTTTGTAGCTGATAATACTCACCATGTCCCATAATACACATCTCTTTGGAGATTTTTTTTTTGTCTCAAACTGTCATTTTATAATTCTAATGAAGTATTAATTGCATTTGTCAATTTTGCCAGTTATCAAACTTCATTAGTTAGTTTGATAAATAATTAATGACAAGGGTAAACTAATAATTTCCCATGTTTCGTTTTTGTTATAATATATGCAAATTTATTGATTTTTTTAATTCATGCCCAACTATTGTCTTAAATAGGAATTCGTATTGGTGCAGAAAATAATCTCAAATAACAACAGAGGTGAGTAATTTTAGGTACCAATAATTTATAGAGTGCAACATACGAACGACATAGAAAACAACAAAAATGCAGCCAATGTCAAAAGCACTTGAATTCCGCAACTCTCACTCGTATAGAATCTTTAAACATCACGGCTGGGAGTATTAGCATGGCCATCCAAATTTGGTTCTCCAGAACCATACTCAAAATGTTCTTCATCCAGATTAGACCCGCGGTCGTGGTGGTGGTGGTGGTGGTGGTGGTCGCGGCGGTGATTCTCTTTTCCGTTATCTATTCCACTGGGTTCATCATTATCATCCGACGACTTCCCTACACATCTCCTCCTACCATGCCTGTTTTCATCGGAGTCTGAAGTCTCATCGTGACTTCGTGATCTCCTATGGTGTTTGTGGTGGCGCTTCACACGATGCTTCTTTCTTTCATCACCGGAAAAATCATCCGAGTGACTAGAATGTTTTGCTCTATGACGCTTGTGGTGCTTCGCACGGTTCCTCTTTCTTCTGACAGCATCATCGTCGTCACTACTCTCGTCACTCGAAGAACCGGAATCAGACACCGAATAACCACGCCTCCGTTTCCTATGTAAGTGCTTCCTTCTCTTCTCCTCTTCCGAGTCACTCTCGTACTCGTAAAAGCTGTCTTCATCAGAATCGGATACCGATCTTCTCTTCGGCTTTTGCCTGTACTTCTTATCCTTCCTCTTCTCGTGGTCGCCAGAGTCAGAAGAATGGTGGCGGCCGTGCTTTCTTCTTTTCTTGTGAGACTTTTTAGTCCTCTTTCTATCATCGACGTCACTATCACTATCACTGTCGATTTCGGATATCGATACATACCTCCTCTTGTGCTTGGCAGCCTTCGATTTCTTCTCGTTGGCTTCTGCATCGGCTTTCGCCTTTGCGGCGGCTTCAAGTTTCTGTTCCCATTTCAAGGGTGCTTCTTTTTTCGCCAAGACTCTCTTTTTCTTCTCCTCGACCAACTGCATGAATTTCTTTGCATCCATACCAACAAATCTACCTGCATTTGGTATGATGATGACCGGAAGTGCATCTCAAAGAGAGAAGGAAACAGTGTTAGCTCTTCCCCCACTTAAAAAACCAAACTTTCGAAACATAACAAAATTATATAGATACAATACATATAACAAAAAAAATCTGATAAATCTCTGTAAATGAAACATTACAGGCATAAACTTATTGAAGTAAAACTAACAATGACCGAGGAACAATAATGAAACGACGAAGAAAATTCTCATAGAACAACGCATAATTATAAGAGATGTATTTTATATACATCGTTGTCCACCAATTTATTCAGACGGCTAAAAACTAAATTCGGTAGTGATTATCCATGTACAGCTTAAGCCCATCCAATATTTTTCGGTAGAAGCGTGATCTCAATTGGTTCGTTAAAAAGGCTGGTCAAAACACTACATCAAACTCGTGCAGATTTTCGGGTTACGGCATACAATTTGCAATTTTGTGAATGAAGATGAATATTCTACAGGTGGAAGTATAACAGCAGAAGAAATTACACATAATCAAACAATAGATTTTCAATATAAATTCAACGAAAATTGAATCGGGTTTCCTTACCTTATGACAGAGAAAGGAAAATCCACAACAGCCCACCAGAATAAACAGCTCAAGTTACCACTTCTCTCTAAATACTGTTCAATAACAAAATGAAATAAAATTATTATAACCCTAAAACAAACCCAATCCCATCACCAAACAATGTCAACCTTGACATATTCAAGAATTAATTTACAATAATAACCGAATTACCAAGATTAATTTTTAAGTAAAATAAAAACCCTAAAAATTCAATCTTTCGAGAAAGCTAACATGATTACATTTGATCTACTGACGGAACATAATAAAAGTAGAAAATAAGAAACAATTTGAATTGAGGCAAATATCTGCAGACGCCAAATTACTGGTCTAATAAAATTAACAATAAAATTAAAATTAATATTAAAATTAAAATCAAACAGATTAAAGAATCGTTCCGAAATTCATACCTGCGAAAAAAGATGTAAAGCTGCGCTTCTTGTTTGGTGGTAGCCTGAGAATTTGGGGGCGGGGGCGGGGGCTGTTATTTAGTACAAATATTTTGTTCGCCTTCTCTAGAGACTTCTACTGGTTGGGTGAACTGCTTATTATAGATGATTATTATTAGAATATTTGGAAAGAAAAAAAATTAGCTAAAAACGTATTGTATCATATAATATTTAACCAACTGTTAAAAATAATAAAATATATATATTTACATAATAGAAATACTATAAACATGTAAACTTTAATATTTAAAGTTAAATCAAGTTTTAAATTTCAAAATTGCATTATAAAATAGGGAACAAAAATTATAGTTTCTCTTAAATAACATCAATAAAGTTCAAATTCGAATCCCTAATCTGAAAGACTAATCTATCACTCATAATTTCTAAAAGATTAATCTATCACTCATAAATTGGTACTTGAATCGCAAAAAAAAATATATAGAAATTGAGTTAAGGTTGCCATATTGTGATTTTTTTGAAGAAATTGAAGGGAGAAAAATGGATTAGGGTTGTGAATTTGAAGGGTAATTTTGAAATCCGTTTTTCACCTCTGAAATTGTGAATATTTCGTTTTTTTTTAAATGTTTTGACTAATATCGTAAATATTGTATCGTATTGTGATATGGCGATACGATACGATATATCGCGATATTTACCGATATTTCAACATAGCGAATACAGAGTCCGAGTGGTATCGTTTTAATTGGGATCGTGCCGTATCGCGATAAATATTGCGATATCTCGCGAGTTTAACTACTATGCTAAAAACCCTAATCCTAACTTTTATTAGTAAGTAATATGGCTAAAAATCCCTTGAGCCACTTTTATATTTTAATTTGATTTATTTTAGGGCAAATTACGAAAGCTCTCGTTGTAGATTCTAGAGGGGACCCATTTTTTATTAGTATCAAGTTTTACTCCTAGAAAAATGGATTTTTGGGCGATTATTCATCAAATAAAATTCGGTGATTGAATTGACAACAGGGCTCAAGTGTTTAAATCGGATTTAAATTAATTATTTCACTAAAATATAATGGGGTAAATTAGACAATTCAATATTACTTTATTTTATATTGATTTAACAATTAATTTTTAGTGGAAGGTATATTGAAAACGGGATTTGCTTTTTACCGTTTGACAATTGCTATTTATCGTTCAAAAACACTCTCTCTCTCTCTCTAACAAACATTGCTCTCAAGACGATTTCTTCACAAATCATTCTTATTGGTGTGATATACGAACATAAATGAGTTCATCGGATGACGATCTGGATAGCGAACACGGCGAGGTACACATTCCGTCTTTTCGATCGAACAAAATGGGCTAACCTTCAAAAGCCCAACT